TTTTACTTAAAGAAGATCTCCATTTCATTTTAAGATATGCTGTTTCCTACATTTTTAATGCTACTAACACATTTGCACATGTGTCTTTAATATCTATGTATTTGATTATTACTAGTCACAGTCAGTTACACTCAGATCCTTAGTACCTGAGTATGGATATAAAGATGTATTTTTTTATGTGTATGAATATTTTTGCCTGGATGTATATAAATACACCACATGCAAATGCCTGTGGAGGCCAGAAAGAGGCATCAGATCCCCTGGAACTAGAGTTAAAGATGGTTGTTAGCCTCCATGTGGGTGTTGGGAATGGAGCCAGGTCCTCTGAAAGAGCAGCCAATGGTCTTAACTGTTGAGCTATCTCTCCAGCTCCACTTCTTATTTTTAAAAGCCCTGGGTGTTTTAAAAGCAACAAGTTTTCAAAGTGAAGGTCATCATCTATGGAGAGAGGGGCCCAGCACTGGCTCCATTCTTTCTGCTCCCTTTGCTGGTTCTGGGTTCTGTCCAGGTTGGCTTCCCAGTGAACTCTGCCTGGTCCCCATGATTCACTGTCTTCACAGAGAAGCATCATGTGCTGAGGACCTGTCAGGAGCTGTTTGTTATGAGGAGGCTCCTTGGATCCTCCTTGCTCTGACTCCCCATCAGAACTCTTCCCTGGCTTTGGGCATCTTCACTGAGGATGAGAACACTTGGAATGTCCCACCTTTCTAGGGCCTTAGGAACTGTCATTTGAAAGGGCAGAGGAATGTGTTCCTGGTTAGTTTGTAGGTTTAGAAAATGGAGCACATTTTTGATAAATCATCACAAGTAAAATTATGGACTATGATAAACAGAAATAGAGGATGATTCAGTACCACCCCATATACCTACCGGCCAGCTTGAGCTAAATTTAACATTTAGTGCACGTTTCAGGTACAATTTGACTGTGGCACACAGCTAGTAAGAACTGGGTTTAGAGCCAGGCTTGTCTCATTCCAAGCCTGTGGTATGAATCATTTTGTTTGTATTTTTCCAGATGCTGTTACCCCTACACACACACACACACACACACACACACACACACACACACACACACACACACACACTTCTTACAAGTCTAGACTCATCTTAATTTATAGCTTGTATTTTCATCTAAGCATATGTGATGACTATTTTCCTCTGTTAGAATTGGGACTTTGGGTCCACAATCCTGTTTTTTTCCAGCTTGCTTATCTGGCCTCTGAGCCTTGCCTGGTTACAGAACCTGTCTGTATTTTAAAGTGGAGATGACTGTATTTAACCTGCAGGACCATTAGGATGTTGCTGTGCCTGGCATGTATGAAAACCTTGTTGGATTTCAGTTGTTATGTTATACTTACAAATAAAATTCAAGAAAATGATCTATTCACTGGTACTTTTTGCTGTTTGAAATAGATCAGATGTTGTTCAAATAGTATAGCTGAGCTGCATTTCAGTTAATCAGCAGTTATTGAATGTATAGAAAGGGCTGTCCCCTTTCCCAGGGATTGTGACTACTGAAATTAGTAAACTTGTTTCCTGTTTTGAGGGGATTGTAGCAACATATTCTAATAATTCTTAGATTTTTAAAAAATTTTATTTTTAGTCTATGTATGTGAGTGTTTTACCTGCATGTATGTAAATGTACAACATATGTGCAGTGCCTGAGGAGGCCAGAAGGGAGCGTCAGATCTCCTGGGACTGGAGTTACAGATGGTTATGAGCTGCCATGTGGGTGCTGGGAGCTGAACCCAGGTCCTCTGCAAGGGCAGCCAGTGCTCTTAACCATTGAGCCATCTCTCCACTTCTTAACTGCTGAGCCATCTCTGCAGCCCCTTACTTTGTGTGTGTGTGTGTGTGTGTGTGTGTGTGTGTGTATGTGTGTGTGTGTGTGAACAAAACAGCTGGGCAGAGGCAAGGGGAGGCCAGCAAGGATTCCCTCTGTCATATAAGCCTTAGCTTAGCATCTTGTATCTTCTTAGCTTCTATACCTCCTGTCCTTCCTTTCTCCAAACATAAATCAAGGAAATAAAGACATAAGGCACAGGAAAGACCCAAGAGGGACACCCTGTGCAAAGTCTGTCACTCAGATTAGAGTCGGCTGGTGTTGCGGGGGGGGGGGGGGGGGTTCGAACCAGTGACCCCCACAAAGGGATGATTGGGGATGAGTAAGCACACCGGCTGTTCGCCAGCCCACCCCAGTACCGGGGACAATCAGATGCAGTGGGGAGCCTAGTCAAGCAGGGACTCATTTATTACAGGTATTACAGAGCTTATAAAGGCACCTGGAAATCCCCCCTCCCCGCCCTGAGGGTGTATCTTAAGGATGGTCACGCGCTGATCATGCACTCCTCAGCAGTGTGGAAGTATTCTTCAGACTTTCAAAGCAAGTCAGGCCACACTCCAGTAACTTCCTCTGGGACTTCCACAAGGCCACATGGTATGTTTAAACACATGATGGCCTTCAAATAGAGTTATTTCTGTCTTACAAAGAAACCATATATTCATGCAATGTGAACGCTGCTTTCCTAGATACAGACTGTGGCTTCCTGCTCTAACTCATTAATGTCCTGGTTCCTGGACTGCAAGGGCAGGTTTCCCAAAGCCCTTCTTCATTCAGCTTTTATTCACATTTCAAAATAAGGCAAGGGAAAAAATTCAAATTCCAGACTCCACACTTAAAGTGTATCATTCCCCCTCAAAACCAAAGATGATCAGAACCACAGAGGTGAGTAATTAGTTTTCATTGACAGTGTTAATGCTCCAATTACTTGACACTAGCTATGTGTATTTGCTTGGGAAAAATCATGTTCCAGGGTCAGTGAGATGGCTCAGTGGGTAAAGTGCTTATGATACAAGCCTGATGATTTGAGTTTGATCCCTTGAAAGAGAGAAGTGACTCCACAAAGGTTGTCCTCTGACCACCACATACCTACAATAGCACACATGCACCTGTATTCACACACACACACACACACACACACACACACACACACACAAATATCATACACACACAATAATAACTGAATAATTTGAAAGTCACATTCTATTATGTAGAATTCGTGGGGAGTAATTGAGAAAAATCAGTGTGATCCCATTTTTGCAAGAAAATCCACATTACAGAAAGTTTGAAGAAAAAAACATGGACATGCCCAGAGTGATTTTTCTCTTGTGTAAGCTTAGGTGAGTTTGTTTCTATATGTGTACATTTTTCCAGTTTTGAATGAAAAGTAGACAAATGAACTGGAGAAATGGATCAGCAATTAAGAGCACCTACTGTTCTTGCAGAGGACCTGGGTTCAGTTCCCAGCACCCACATGACTGCTCACAACCATCTGTACCTCCAGTCCCAGGGGTTCCAACGCCCTCTCTGGCCTCTGCAGGTATTGCACTCTTATGGTGCCCTTACATACATGCAGGCAAACCATGCATACACATAAAAGTAAATAAACAAAAAAAAATTAAAAAATCAGACAGTGTGTTCTGATTGAGCTTCATTACTGTTAATGTTCATGATCGTCTTGACCTTATTGGAGTAAAGAAAACTATTTCTTTTATGTTGGTTCTAGTCTAGTCTGTGTACTGAGGAAGCAACAGTGTGAATTAGTTCAGCTGTTTGACTTCTAAAAGCATATGCATATATATTAGAGTTCAAGGTTGATGGAAATTGCACAGCGAACCTAGACTGACATTGATGTCCTGATTTATGCAAATGGCTACCATTATGTATGTGATGGACATGGTTGGACGGCCACCTGCACTTCATGGAGAGAAGCTGGGGAAAGGGACACTAGCCCCATTTCACCTTGAGAGAACTCCAACTCTTCTTTGTATTGGTCACCATCTCCACTGTGCAGCCTTTCCGAGTTCATTTCTTGATCACTTTCCATGTTATATCGCTTTCAGATAGCGTTTAGAAATGCATATGTTATTTCTGTGGTGTTGAGAATACTTTATGCATTTACATGTATCCTCAGTACATTCTAGTGGAATAGGCGGGACGATAAAACACTTCGTCAAACCTTCATGAAGCTCCATGCTCAGCAGATGGAGAGGTTTGCTTGGGATTCAGTGGGAAGTCAATGTCAGAACTCACCTGGGCAGTTTTTTCTGGTTGCTACTAATCAGTGTAATTACTGAGCATGGCAGAAGATGTGTTGAAGAGAGATGGCTAGGAAGAGACCCACCATTTTCACAGAACCACTGTGCTTTGACTTGCCACTTACATTGTCTTCTCTTCGACTCCTACAGGGAGGTACCTCCTTCCAAACCCAGTGGCAGGACAGGCCTGGTCTGCTTCAGCAGAGACGTCCAACCTCGTGCGCATGCGTAGCCAGGCGCTGGGCCAGTCGGCTCCCTCGCTCACTGCCAGCTTGGTGAGTGTCTTGTGTGTGGTCTGAATTGCCCTGGCCACTATCTTGCTGGGGCGTGTGTAGTTGCATCACGTTTAACTGGATTTAAACTTACTGCATGTTGCACTGATCACAGATTCGGAAATGTGAAATGCTTTGCTGTGTGCCAACTTCCTCCAGCTCCTCAAATGTGGAGTATTTCTTTCTGGCTCCGTCTGTGCCCCTCCCCCTAGAGAAAAGAAAATATTTGTACCCCAGACAGTCAGGTGTGGTGACACAAGCCTTTAATACCAGAATCCAGGAGGTGAAGGCAGAGGCACGGAAATTTCTGAGAGTTTGCGGCTAGCCTGGTCCACATAGTGAGTTCCAGGCCAGCCAGGGCTATTCATTGAGACCCTGTCTCAAAGCAAACAAACAAAAACAAAACAAATAGGTAATAACAAAATCCGTTTTTTAAATTTCAAAGCTATGTTAAAGCACAAGGATAAGAAAGAAGAGTACCAGTATATTCTGCATCTGGAGTCGATTAAAATCATCTTGCCTAACTTGCTTCACCATTTGCAGAAATTTGTAAATATATGTGTGATGTGTACATACATGGACATGCATCACATAATTCTTGAGTCGTTTGAGAATAAGATGTATGTCCGTCACAGCCCTCCTGTCACAGTTGTCACCTTGAGTGAGTTTCTCATTGGTTCAATCCTAGTGTCTGCTCTGTATTTCATTTTCATCAACCGACTCAACTGCATCAGTTATAACATCTTTTGCTCTTCAGTGTAACGACAGGCCTGTGGTCCTGTATTATATTTAACTGCCCTTCTTTTCATTCTCCTTTAATCTTCAGTACTTCAACAGACTTACTTGGTCTTTTTTGACACCAAAATCATTAAAAAACAATTGTAGAATATTTTTCATATTGTGCTTGTCTGTTCTTCTCCCATAGTGAGACTCATGCAGTTGTTATGATGTTTTACAATTTTATCCACTAGTGATAAAATGTTGGATATTTGGGGATCATACAATGAATGCACAGAGAGATCTGACTTAGGTCTAGCCTCGAGTCCTGCCACTGACATTAAGTAGCTATCTAAACTTGGAGAAGTCAGTTTCTCATAATACAGACATGTTAAACAGTCTATGAAGTCTATGAAATTTCCTGATCCTTCTTTCAGGATCAGGATCTGAATACTGGAAATAATGATACCTAAAACACTTCACTTTATGACTGTTTAAAGATACATTAAAGTGATGGTAGAGAGCATTTCCTCCACAGTCCTCCCATGCAAAAAACTTCTTTCTTCTTGGAGAGTTTGTTAAAGGCTTATTTTTTTTCTCCAAGATTTTACTTTTTAGCAGGAAAATGCCTCACAATTCATGATTTTTGTCAGTGTTTTTTAGACATTGCAATACTACGCTTAACTTTTAAATAGTAATCTTGTATGCTTGTTGGTAAGCAAATCATTCTGATTAAAACAACTCTGCCACAAAGTACTGTATTTTATTATTGGTGATCACATATCCAGACATACAAACTAATTTATTCACTGCTAACATGCATGCCAAGCAACTCTAGGTATTTGGGAATAGGATACAAAAATAAGAACCATTAATAGAATACATGAGATGAATACCCCCTAAAATTTGCCGGATGGCATTGTTAGCAAAGAATCTTTCAAAATTATTATTACCCACAAGCTTTATGAAGTCTCCAATGTTAGCAGCATTACTAAACCTGTTGCTATGGGTAAGTTTGAGCACATAGCCAGAATGTGGTTAGCCATTGATGGCTAACGCTGGGCAGAACTCCATCCTGATTTCTGTACTCTGCTGTGATATACCCAGATTGCTATGCCATGTCACTTTCCTCAGTATGTCACCTGGTACATATGGATGTCATTTTTGTTGTCTGTACCATTTGTGGGACTACACAACTAAAAGGACCTTAAAGTTGAACCTATTTGATGGCTTCTGGATTATACTGAATTTTTTTCTGCTGACTGAAATGACAGAGTGTGTAGAGAATGATACTGACGAAGTGGAAACTGACAACTTTGGGCACCTTGGTTTACTTTCCTTCTTTTGCTTTCTCTCATTTCATTGTCTTCCAAACAAGCTGATGTTTGTGGAATTGCACTGTGCAACAGAACATGCCTCATGGTTGACGTTCTGTCTTCCCGGTGTCTGTCCTTGGCCCTCCCCTCTTAGAGCTGTGATCCAGCTTTTCCAATTGTCTAGCATTAATCACGATACACTTTTGAATAACTGTTTATCTCCCTGCTAGACAGTAAGCGTTGTGCGGGCAGAATTCTTACTGATTGATTTTCTGCTCCCTCCACTTTTAGCACAATGCCTTCCATGTAGGAGGCATTAGGTAAATAATAATGAAGGAACAAATAATTATTCATGAAAAGTGATGGACCCCTCTAGCTGCAGGGTGAGAGTAATGATGTGATTCTGTATGCTGTAATGGGTGGCTTGATGAGCTCGTCCATCTCAAACCTCTCTGGTTCTGTGGTTTGGTGGGCATCTTACAATTGTGATTAGCTTTAAAATCCATGTAACAGGCCAAATCCCATTTAGCTTGTGTCAACCACTCAAAAAATATGACAACAAAACTGGGAAGAGATTATCATTGTGCACAGCCAAGGGATTTTCATTAATCTGCTTTCATGTACTTATGTAGTCACATTGATTTAAATATTTTTATTGATTTTTTTAGAATCACCAAGTTAAAGAGATGTTTGTCCAAGTTTAGAAGAATTAGAAAAATAAAGATCCCCAAGTGCTTTATGTTCAAGTGACAGCATCACCTTTGACATAACAAAATTTGGTGTTCCATCAAAACAACTCACATTTCAGAAAACTACAGACTTCCACCTGAATGACATTAATATCCTAGCAAGATATTAATGAAGGTTGTGTGGTTGGTAGGTATGCATTTTAGTAAATGCATGGACCTGTAGTGATTTAAATGCCATAGGCAAACATGAAGGTACCACTAACTACCTTCTCAAGGAGAGATTAATTCCTTGCCTGAAGTACCTAGTTTTCCTTGGCAATGCTAAATGTAGTTGTGTTCCATCTCCCAGACACTTTGGGCATTTCAGATAAATCGCACATTGCCATTTCATCCTAAGTAGCCTGGTAGCTGGCAGAATACATGCTCAGCCAGTGTCCGCCTGCTGGGACACCAGCCGTGAGTGCTGATGAAGTGTCAGATGTATACTTCATATACATTAATCTGAAGAGGGAAAACTCATTTTCCCATTTGCTTCTTCCATCTTTCTGTCCCTCCCCACACACATGGGTAGTTTATCAAAGAAGTCATAGTCGTCAGAAGCTGGGGAATTTGCACAGATGCTGCTTTCTGGCAAGAAAGATGGAAATTTCAGGAGGCAAAAGCAGGACTCATGGTAACTTATTTCTTGGTAGGAAAATAAGGTTCTAGGTCTTGATGGCTGATGTTTAGAAATGGCATATATGGCCAATCATGAGAAATTTGTTGCTTCTGTACTTTGGTGTTCTGAAGAGAAGAAGTACTTTGAAAATTAGTTGCCCATATATTTCTCCAGTTGTGTTTGCTCTAAATCATCTGCCTCATCTGTTGTGTACTTGTCAAGGTTCCATCTACATCCTTCCTTAACGAGGTCTTCTTTGACCTTCTGTTTGTTGCTGTTTCCTTTTTGCATGATATACTTTCCGTAGTTTCATTTTACTCCCTAGGTTCATACCTTCAGATATGCTCTTCACTCTGTGTCCATGGGAGATTGGGTAAAAAATCAGGGATGCTCAAGTTCTCATTGGCAAATGGCATACTATGTGCACATAAGCTATGTATTTCTTCCCATGTACTTTGAGTCATCTCTATAATACCTAGTATAGTGTAAGTGCCATGTAAGTGCATAGCTTCAGGAATAAAGAAAAGAAAAAGCCTGCACACGTGAAGTGTAGGCCTACTATTATTGTCTCTGGTTGGTTGAATACATGAACTCAGAGGCCCATGGATTAGGAGGGCTGGCTTTGTATCTCATACTACTCTGGTGTGAGTTTCATGAAGACAAAGATCGTGTTTTCTATTTCCCCAGTACCTAGAATAGAGCAAACAGTGGGAGCTCACCAAACTTGTTGAATGCAATGAAGACATTCCTTTTCTTTATGTTTTTAGTGCCCCAGAACAGACTCTTGTATATTTATTCATTTTAGTCTGTAGTGATACTTTTTGGTTTGTATTGTATAGGTTAGCTAAGAAGTTGTTTTTCAAGCTAGAGAACAACTAAGTACTTATTAAAAGAACTGAGCTGTAATAGTTCAGCTGGACATGAGAACAAGAGGGAAAGCAAAACAGTAATGTCCATGGGCTACCAGAAAAGACTCCAGACCGTGTAGATTATTATTGTTCATTATTATTTAATTTACTTATTATTATTTGGTCTTCTTGAGACAGGGTCTCTAACTAGCCTCTGCTGCCTGGAGCTCACTATGTAGACCAGGCTGACCACAATCTCACAGCGATCTGCCTCCCAAGTGCTGGGATTAAAGGCATGTGCCATTGTGCCCCACATTATTATTTTTTTATAATTAATTAGCTTCACTGAGAGCTGTGTGAGCCTTGGTTTTTCCATCTCTGGAATGGGGCTCAAAGTTGTCCTAACCTTGTATGGTTACTGGGTGATTAAATGAATACAGAACTTTGTATCATGCCTATCACTCAAGAAATCTTCACTCTTCAGTGTTTCTGGGTGGGGCTGGTAAAAAGACTGTCTAAGAGGTGAGGCCATAAGCTGGGCTCGGCTGGGATGATATCATTACAAAGGAGAAAAACAAGAAGATTCCCCCAGAATGTCGGATATACCTTCTCTTCTTTTTTGCAGATACCTTGGATTTTTTTCTTTCTTTGTTCTTGGTCTTTCCTTCAAATCCACCAGCTGAGCAAACTGGAAGGTACCTCTCTAGGATGCTTATCGTTTTTGAACAGGCAAGGTGCTTTCAAAAACTGTTTTTTTAACTTTTAGATGTTAGGT